AGAGAGAGAGAGAGAGAGAGAGAGAGAGAGAGAGAGGGAAACAGTAACACAAAGAGAGACGGAGAGAGAGGGGCAGGGACAGTGAGAGAGAATGGAAGAGGGGAGGGGCAGGCAATATGAGTCACGTTATTTTACGTCGAAAAATCTCATTTTCCCCCGCAGCCTTACAATACTAATTTTCTATTCTGATAAGCCTCCGTATTTACGAACATATGCGAGAAAATAACTAGTGGTGCTACAAAACGGCCTTGACATTCTCGTATTAGTTGGTTTTCTAGTCTTTAGTCTACGTTAGCTTTTCGGTATTGCTCAATCCTCTTCCCAACTGCCACCCCGGCGTCCAAAATATATTTTTTTCTTATTTTCTCAGTTTATTGGACTCTTAAAAGCAAATTTGAAATATGACTTTAAGAATGTGAGATGGTCCTAGGTAAATTTTCACTGAAACATTTGGAGCGGTTTTTGAGAAAATGTCGTTTGAGCGTTTCTGAAAATGCGCAATTTTAAGCTCACTTTCACAGAAAAATTTGAGTTTTGAAACTCGTTAAGAAATCCGTTGCCCACATAACCAATAACAGCTAAAACCGTAACGTAAATATTACCCACATAAGCAATTAAAAAAATAAACATGTGTACATTTTAATAAAATCAAAATAGCAGTTTTGTCATGTTATTTCAGTACATTTCGCTCTATCTGTACAAAATGTTTAAAGAAAAAAAATTGGAGCAGTTTTTGAGAATTATTTGAGGTAGAAGAGATTGTGGAAAGCAACTTTCAGAAAAATACAAAACAAATTGCCATCAGAATATTGTAGAGTGGTACTGTTTGTACTTGCCATTATTTTCATTCATTGAGAAAACTATTTAAAATAAATTAGTCAAAAACTGTGTTTTGAATGTAAAGTACTTTGCAGTATACAGTATGAATAAAATTATTTTTAATGTACTTTATATTCAGATTTCACTTTATGTAGTTTATTATAGAAATTAGTAGTATTTTTCAGTTAGTGCATTTCTTTTCATGTTTTTATTTTGTAATAAATGAATTTATGACATGACATTTCATTTCAACTTTATATTTTCAGCTAGATATTTTAGCTCTGCCACTCATGTACATCAAGGTAAATCGTCATCTGTAAAAACATTTATTAAACATTTCCTATCAGTTTACACATTATAGAAATTTAGTAGTGTTCCTAATTATTATTGATAGTATTTTGGGAAAGTTAATATTTTAATTAGCTAAACTGTCAGTAGTTTTTAGGAAATTTTGTGAGGGGCAAATGTTTCTTATATTACTTTCACTTACATATAATGATGTATATCTATATATTTATACCTACCAACACTTGTACACCTGAACGTGAATACCCTCACATACACATAGATGTAGATAAAATACAATACGCTAGGGATAGATGACAGTTTTTGCGAATTTACAAGAAATCATCTAAACTGCTACTGCTAGTAGGGAATTACTAATGAGCCTTGCATCCCACAGATTTTTGATGCAAAAAATGAAGTTGGCCGGTTATTATGATCATTTTATTTATTTAATAGGTAATTATTACAAACGAATTAGATTACTTGATCCTATCCCCTCCTTTAAGCCATTACAATACCTACATCCTTTCACGTTCTAATCTTTCAAATTCTGGTATTCACCCCAAATGGTCTCTCCATCGCATCAAAGCCGCGGAAAAGAGACCACAAGGTATGGCTTAGGAAAAAACCCCTGAAGGGGGAAAAACCTGCCGTCAGAAGCCGAGTACATTCTAATCTATCCGACGTTTATTTTAACTATTTTATTTTCTGGCGCGGGCACCCCGCCGTCTCCTTCCAGTGCTTGGCCTCCTCAGCACCTGAAATCAAACGGCGCCACAGAAGATTGTTCGCACCAACGCCTCTGCCCTTACATTTTCGATCCCCCTTCCCTTCACCCCCTCATGTGCTTATTACTATGCCAGTTTTATTTTATTCATTGTATAGACAAGTAATTTACCAATTGACTGCGACTTATGACTTATTTCTTAACTTTTTACTAACTTAACATAAAATTACTGATTAACTTACTTATTGTTAACTTATTGACTTATTAATTTCTCTCCAGTCTAGGCTCTGCTCAAGCTAACCAGTGCTGTTTTCCCACTCCCTAATTTCAGTTTCCCTAATGGTCCGGACCTTTCCTAAAAATGTTCCTAATTCTTTCATAAATTTAGATCTTTTGTCACCTAAAACGTATTGGGCGAGCGTTACGTTCCTGTTTAGGAAGTAGTAATTTCCCATTCCCATTCATTTTTTTCTCCATGTTTCGGTTGCACAGCTAATTAAGAGGATGTGGATCCAGTCTTCCCTATCACCGCAAAGCACACAGATGCCATTACCACTTGTGTCCTTTAGTCTCCGCTGCATCCACCCCCCAACCCTAAACCAAGCGTATCCCCCTCTTGCGTCCTTTCCGAGAGTATGTATGTAACTTTCGCAACCCCATAATGGACTCGCATGGATTTGAGCTACCAGCGAACGTTTTTCAGCCGTTGCTGCCCAGATCTCTTGCCTTTTTATAGGTTATTATGTAACAAACAGATTATTGCAACCTATTATACATAAGTCAGAAACAATATGATATAGGTGTCCTAGGCCCTTAAAACCAGGTTATTGTGGTCACAGTTGAGTTCTAATGAGACACAAATTGAGGGGGGGGGGCAGGGGGGAAATGAAATGGGAAAAAGGGAGGGGACCAGATGGAGCGAATTAGGTTTTTTAAGCAGTATGCTCTATTATGAACATTCTATTATTTTTTGGAACTTAAGTTTAAAAGTTTAGTACTCTCTTGAGTTCACTGCATGGGTGGTCTGAGAAATTGCAGAAACCTGTAATCTATGTAAAACTAAATTGAAGAAAAAAGTCAATAATAATCATTCACAATAAATTTAAAGGGACTTTTTGATTTACTCTGAGCAATGCTTTGCAACATCAGAATGGTTACTCTTGGACAGTTTTGGGTCTACATGCCGTAATATACAGTTTGAAGTTGTGTCCTACTATTTTCTTTTACTTTCAAAACAATTCTTTGCAAAGACCAGAGTTTTTACATGGGTTCAGCAAAAGACAGAATATACTTAATATTTTTTAAATCAGTATTCAGCATCACGTATTCCACAGAGAAAAGTAACTTCCTATTTAGTGCACAGTGAAATTTTTAGACTTTGACAACTTCTTCTGTCATTGACAATCCTACGTACAGAGAACTTTTCAGCACTCACAGGAAAACTTTTCTTCCACCTAAAGTGACTCACTCTGCATAAACACATTGGGCCCAAAAAGCCCATCGCTTATGTAACCCTGTTTCTAAATCAATAAAGGTAAGCAATTCATTTAGGTTTTATAACAGTCTTAATTTCATAAAATTAAATAATAATGACAGTTTTTCCATTATTGGTTATCAGCACTTTACCATTGTTAACAATAAATACAACACCCAAACTCTTCTTTGATTGTTGTTGAAATGTACTATTCAGCCTCACTAGTTTTCAATGTAAGTTCTGTTTTTATTAATAAGCCTACACTCTGTAACTAACATTGATTTCTTATGTTACTACATTTATCATAGACAGCTAAGTTTAGTAAGTTTTACGGATGGGATCACAGTCATTTCGTTACGCTACTGAGTACAAACATAGAGTTGCTCCACTTGGAAAAAATCCAACCTCATATAATTAGATGAGCAAATCTTTTTGCCATATTGCTGAGATGTGCGTATTTTCTCTAAATCAGTTTCTTGATGATTTCTCTACTTCTCTAACATTCTAAAGGATGTACTTGTAGTGAGTTGAAGCTCTGAGAATAGTTCTATGTATTGCCCAAGAAAAAAAATCTACCTTTTTCCCAAGCAAACAAAGAGAAATTCAAATTTGTGAATTGTCAGATATGCAAATCATGCCATCCTGTGTTCCATGCATCATCTGGGCCCTGCATGCCTTTAGATCATCAGAATTGAGGCAATTGAGGCCTAAACTGCTATCTCCTATTGACGCTATCTCCTATGCCACTTTTGTAAAAAAGGAGTTGGCACAATAGTGTGTGTGATATAACATATATACATATACATAAACCCACAATCAACTGTCTCTCTCTCTACCTATAGAGAGAAAGACATGTGTGAGAGTGAGAAAGAGATATGAATGTGGCTGTATATGCATTCATAAAAATAGGGTTCCACTGCGATAATACATAAAAAAGAAAAGAAAAGAAATACAAACACACTAAAAAATTTCAGAAAAACCATGATGAATTAAGTGAACAAATTGAATAAATTTATCTTGTCTGTTATTGAGGATAGTAAGTTTTATTGGGAAACAGTGTAATTGTGAGTTTTAATTTTTACTAGAGCATTATTACATTTGTGGTCTTCTCCTGGGTTTTACAAGATATTGGAGTCAGAAACAGAGAAAAAGTAAAAAATATATTTGAAATTAATCCTTTCATAAATATATTTACAAAAGAATTTTGTTTTTTCAGCAATAAAACATATTTACAATGTGGGAATATATTGTCTTGAAAACTTAAGGAATAACAAAAGAAGAAAATACACATGATACCTCTCTCACAAATAATTTTTATAATTGCATTTATATTTGTAACACAATAAATAAAATCAACAACCACAAGAAACAATGAAAGAAATGATAAAATGATCCTGGCCAATCTCAAACATAAAAATCCCCTAACAGAAATATTTCCTTAAGGTATCAATGTAATCTATTTGAGGTCCAAAATAAGCAACTTGGAGTAACAAAAAATTATCCTAAGAAGACATAAACATAGTACCTTTAGGGTTTATAATGTTTTAATTTGAATCAGAGAAAATATTCATAAGAATAGATGATACAGAATATTGATTAAAAAAACCTATATGATCATTACTGCTTACATGTATAAAAAAATATAAATATTTGACAAAAATGAGTTTGTACAAGATACCACAAGACAGAAAATTTTAGTTACACAACATAACCTCTTTGCATTTTTATTACTATGAATACTTTGTCATGTTTTTACCATTTCTGGTCCCCTTTAAATGGTACATAAGCCTCTAGCGTATCTTTAATATATTTAAATATCCAGCTTTATGGATTTCACTGACAAAGTAACATGCTATTTTGTGCACAGTGAAATTTTTTGGACTTGAACTTATTCTGTCAGTGGTGATCCGATGTTAAGAGTGGTTTCCAGCAGCCAAGCATTTGATAAGTGTAAGGAATATGTAACATATTTGTTAAATGGGAATAATATATACTGTTTGTACAAAATTCATGTGTACACAATCAATACTATACATAATTAACTAGTAATTTTATTGAATCTCCTGTCCCAGAAGAGAGAGCTGAAATTACAAAAGAAAATTGAATTAGAATGTGTTGTGAGTTTTACCTCATAACTAGAGCTGTGATTTATACGCATTTGCATATTTTTTCTGTGAACTAGCACATCCTCTTTCACCAAATTGTAGACGTTTTGAGGCATTTAGAATCAATGAAAGCTATTTTTATTTCGCATACTTTTGCATATATCACTAATTGAATATTAGGGCTACATTTGCATATTTTTATTGCATATTCACTCTTCATCTGCGAATAGAAGCCCAAAACTTGCAATTCCATCAGTGTGTAAGCGGCTCTAACAGTTCTCTCGCTCCTTGTTATGGTATATAATAGCTGTTGTTTACGTTGCCTTAGCCACAGATCAGCATTGCCTCTGGCCTGACTCGTACAAAGTCGATCGAGAAGCATGCAAAGACCTGTCAATGGCAGTATCTGTCGAATGAAACGTGCATCCACCGAGCACCAATGCTTGCCCACGTATGGCTCAAACACGGAGTAGTGTTAGGAGATTCAGGGCTGTAAATTTGTTGTGAATTGAGAGGAAGTCATATTTTTGTTGCAAAACCTATATTTTTTTATTTTGTGCAATGTCCAATAACTGCATCTCCCATTATTTTTCTAAGAAATGACTGTTCTTCAAAATTATCCCTTGACTGTTTGACGTTTGTTGCTTGTAACAATTTATAAGATTTCTGTATCTTTTTTTGCAGTACACATTTTTTTCACAGTACACCTTTTATTTTTTTTTACACATTACATTACACTATTTCGCATATTTTCCTTTTCTAATTGTGTATATTGCCAAATATATTTACACATATATATGCACATTTCGCTGTTTTCATTGCATATAAATCACAGCACTAGTCATGACACAAGTACACTATGAGTTCATATATCTATTAAGCATGAATATTAAGCCGAAATATATCTATTAAGCATGCATTACAAGAAATGGAAAATTATTCTACTAGGGTGGTCATCATATTGGCACTGTATAAATTGTGTCCCCTTTCATCTAAAAATTTTCTTTATCTTTTCCAATTGCCTTTATATGCTGTATACTTATGTGTGTGTGGAGAAGACTTAATGGCTCATTATTATAACAATACAGTAAAATGTCCTTCTCTTTATTATATCTGATGTAATAATGGGCATTGCCAAAGTCAATTATTAATCATATAGGGGGATACAGTTAAAAAATGTTAAAATATTAAAAAGGCAATTGGATTAAAAAAAAAGAAAAGGTTGTTTATTCCAGTGCCTATACCTAAAGTACCATTTTGTGCTTATGTAATTACACACTTCAGCTATTGGTTTTAGAATAATCAAATAACTTGCATCAAAATAACCGCTTATTTTACAGCATTAAGAGTTGCTTATCTTACAAGTTGCACAATTTTTTAGTCACTTGTAGTAAAATGAGCAACTATTAATACTATAAAAAGTTCCCAAACCATTAAAATATTTGATGAGTTTCCGTAAAAGGGGTAATTAATAAAGTATTTTAAATTGGTATTTTATATTTTTTAGAACTTTAGGAGAAACTTCTTCCATTTGCTGTTTGCATTTCTTATTTATTTGGGGGATACTGAAAATGAAACTGGAATTGAAGATGACTTTTGACAGATGATAATATTATTGTCAACAATGTTTTGGAGATTTAATAAGTAAATGGCATCTGCCAAATATTTAAAGGCAAATTCTGACATTAGAATCTACTTTGATGTCTCAAAACTCTATTGATTGGTGAGAACTGCACACCTCCCTACTTTTAACTCAAATTGACACATCCAACTCAAAACTGACAAAATCAATTTTAAGCACCATATCAACTTAATGCAATAAGAATCATAAAAAAATATTAAAAGCCTAGCCTTTACAGCATTTTTTTATATTATTTGATAGCTTTAGTGACAGTTTTCTCCTGTTAAAAGTCATTTATGTTATTGATGTAAATTTTTTGGTATTTGGAAGTAGTGAGAACAGTAAAATTTTAACTTTGCAAAAATAACAACCACCCTCATGAATGCATTCATGATGAATAAAAAATTAATAATAATAATAATAATAATAA